GGAACGTTGACGCCTGCAAGGCTCTGGTTTATTCTTTCTCTCTTCCAGTACCAGCACAAGGATTTAGCACAACGAGATGTTATCACTGTGTTTGCCTCGTTTAATGATTTGAAACCAAAAATTGAGAAATATGGTAAGATGATCTTTTGTTTAGTTACACACATATGATATTATCTACATACTACAAATGTGCCCCCAAAAAAGGCCCAAAAGCCACTTCTAGCTAAAAAGGGGTTACTTTTTAAAATTTTTATTATATATATTAGCCATGAAGTGCTTGAACCTAAGGCTGAAACATAGCCTGAGCCACTTCACAGGCCATCAGTGACGGAGTAAACAAGCTAGGGTTTCTAAGCTTGGCCGGTCGAGAATGGTGAACGTGTGATTTGAACTCCTGACCACAAGTTCAATAACCAAAATGGGAAACCACTGTGCCAGACTGCCTTCTCCAGTACTACTACACTTTCGCCACTTGCACCTGTGTTAGTAGTTTGGTGGTTCTGACGTTCTGCCTCCATACTAATAATGTACTGGTACCATCTGGAGAATTTGGAAAAAACTAAAAGAAATGAATTAAAAAAAAAAAATGTACTTTTCCACTTTGATACTTTTCCACATTTTTTTAATAGTATTTTTTTTAAAACTAGCAATTGTTACAGTACTTTTTAGTAATTTTGTTTTACAGCCTTTAATGATGGATCAGTTAAGGATTTGCTGTGTATTGATGGAACTATTCCTGTCCATTATAAAGGTACTGTAATTATAATTAACCGTACTGTAATTAAACAAATTAATTACATTGATTATAAATATAATCATTTTCCCTACAGAATGTCATGTGTGTGTATATATTTTATATTATTTCTGTCCATATCACATTGAAGTACTTATTTTTTCATTGTAATTGACAACATTAATTGCTGTTAAATGAATAATATAAAATTAAAACTAGAATTTTGTTCCAATTATAATTCACAGATCAAGTTAAATGCATTTTATTTAGGAGCTACTGTACGAATATGTAGGCCTACTGTGTCAATCTATGGTCCAGCTACAAACACAAAAGCATAGATTCTTTAAGTTTGCTATAACAACGCACTAAGAATACTCTTAGGAAAATCAAGGTCGTGTAGAGTATTAACAAAAAATAGTTTTTGTTTTCACCAGAGATAAATGTATTTTTGCATTTTTTATAGTTGTTTATACCATATGGAGAAATGGCTTTTGAAACAGATTTTTAAGAGAAAACTACCTCAAAGATTTGCCGAACGCTTCCATTATACGCAATTAAGGGTCGTAAGACCTACGTAACGCAACAGTGTTAGCTGTGGTATTTAAATAGCATGTTATCTACTTTATGCATTTTATTTACCTCATCTAGGGTCAAGATACAACATCCCCATTTGTGTTTACGTGATGGACACACATCCATACAATCCACCAATGTGCTTTGTAAGGCCAACTAAAGACATGTTGATTAAACCGTCGAAGCATGTGGATGCCAACGGCCGTATTTATTTACCCTATTTGCACGAATGGAAATACGTAAGCCTAATTGTTATTTACTAACTGATTATTTTTTATTTAAATTAAACTACTTTGTAAATAAATTTTCAAGTCAGCACTGCTAAAAGCATGTATTTTTTTTTGCTGAAAGTCAATAAATCATAAAGAAACTAGTTGGTGGGCTTAAACATAAACTAGGGGTGGGGTTATTTTTGAGAATGGACGTGTACTCTGTAAAATTTGTTATTAATATTAGTCAGGATAGTTGTGGATTGAAGCTGTATTCTGGTAGTAGGTAGTTTCCAGTTTTCGTCTCTAATTAGATTAATAAATATAAAAGACATGTTGTTAATTTGAGGACCACAGAAAAGTGTTCTTTAATTGGAGATGGCCTTTAATTCTCTCCAAGCAATTTCATCCATTTATATACATTCATCTTTGTGTTGAATTTCTAATAAATAAGTAAATAAATGATTAGAGGGAGATCTGTATTTGGTTTTAAATGATTTGTAATTAGACCTCCTCTTTACTTGCAGCCAAATTCAGACTTGATTGGTCTCATACAAGTCATGAGTGTTGTGTTCGGTGAAGCCTCACCAGTATACGCAAAGCCACCTCAAGCAGCTCCACCCCGTCCTCAATATCCTCCTGGAGGATCCCCACATGCCCAACAAAATGTACCCTACCCCACAAATACAGGTGAGCTTTTTTCATACAAAGTATGCACATTGAAGAGTTTCATATCGTAGCTACTATAATTGATGTTGTTACTGCTGCTGTTGCTATCACCACCATCATTTTGTTATCATCATTAATTTTTATTCATCATTTTAACTATTATAAACATAGCCTATATATTGTAAGCATTTGTATTTAATAGTATTAATTTTGAGTTCACATTTATTAATAACATATTTTAATAGTTTCATCTGATTGTCTTGTGTATGAATATTTAATTTTTCTTTTGATAGTTTACACAATTTTGTAATAAAAAGTAGTTGTGGATGAAATGCTCACTGCTTTTTTGCTTTTGTCTAAAAGTTAAATTATGCTGTAAATAAATTGTTTTACATTTTGTGTAGGGCCACAGTTTTCAATGTTGTTTGTGCTAGATTTAAACTGTGTTCATTAAATGTAATTTCATCTACTTAAATAAAATAAAAAATTAGTAAGAATAAATTATAAAAATACTGATAAGCATATCATAGATGCGGGTAATACAAAATACTGGAAAGTCAAAAGTTTTTTGAATAGGTATCTCTTATTATAGCACACTGATTGGAAGATCCCTATGGACAATACAATACTACAACTAAAAGTAATTCAGAAAAGACAAACAATAAAATCAGATAATTAATAAACAAGATTATTACTGCAGAAGGTAAAAGAAGAGAGTTATTGAGTTTGAGTGAAGATTATAGTTGTATTGAGCGCATATAGAGACCATGTATTATGCGCTATATACATTTCCATTGCATATGCACAGTACTGTATTTTACTAAAGCTTGAAAGATACATTTTTTAATCTAGACTGTTACGTGATGAAATAATGGTGATTTTCATATTGTAATGATTCTTGATATTTCGTATATATAATAAAATAATAATATATAATAATATAATATATATAATATATATTAAAATAATCTTTTGCTTAACAAATTTGCAGGTTTCATGCCAATGCCAAATGCAGGTGGACCTCAACCAAGCTCCAGCTTCTATCCCCCACAGAATCCTCCAACAAGTACATACCAAGGCCCTGGCTACCCCTATCCAGGGGCAAAGCCTGTTTACCCTCCATCAACTACTGCATACTCCTATAATCAGAACCCTTCCCAAGTGTATCCAAGCAACAGTCAGGCTCAGACAAGTGCAGCAAAACCTGGTAAGAAACCAGCTTAGCTCATAAGCCAATTCATAGTTCGAACTGTGCATGCTCGTATCTAAGGTCAGTCGACATCAACTTATGATGTGTGTTTGTTTGTTTATGGCGTTTGACCTTGATATGAGCATGTGCAGTTCAAACTATGAATTTGACTGTAGCCTCTGTGTGTGTGCTGAACTGTGGAGATCTTTGAGATCTATGATCCTGGTTTAATTCAAACTGCTGCTTCTTGTGTTTCAACTGGAGGCCTGAAATAAAACTTAGCACATCTTTTAGACATTCAAGTCATTGATCCCAAATGCAATATGGCCTGTGTGCACTTTGAGGAATGCAGTACACTTTTTGGAAAAGATTAGGTGCTTTTCTGGTGTACTGTCCAATTTACCACCAGAAGGACCAAAATCTACAGAACACTACACCATTATTTATAACTACAGTAGAGCCCCTTCTTTGGAACACCCCTAGTGAGTGGACACCTCAATTAAGGGAACACTTTTTGGCAGTGAAGTGAGAAAATTTACACTACGACCAACCCCTATTCGGGGAACATCCCTATTAAGGGGACACTAGTTTCTGTACTTTAATGTTGTAATAATGTACAGAAACTAGTGTCCCCTTAATAAGGGACACTAGTTTCCATACTTTAATGTTGTAGTAATGGTAGCCATAGATAAATGTTGCCTTGAATAATTTTGATCACATGACTAAATGATTGAATTGTTTGTTTTTTTAGTTTCAAAGCAGAGTAGTTTACCAGATGATCAGATAAAAGCGTCAATACTGTCAGCAGTTGAGGACAAGTTGAAACGACGATGTAGAGAGGTCTTAGCTGAAATGTCGGTAAGTCTTGCAGTCAGTAGTGAATGCCTGTCGACCTTAGCTTTTAGCGTGTCTTGATTTCAGATATATCTGGCCAGACAAGTCAATTTTTTTTTTAAATCATTTTTGTTAAATGTTTTACAATGCCTTAAGCCCTGTCCAGATTATTAAATGTGATTTGACAAAAACATGTGAATACCTAAATATGGTCATGACAACGTCACATCAATGCCAAATTGTTTAACATAAAAGGAATCCATTAAAATGTTTATATTTAAAAACATAGAAGAGCAGAACAATTAATTGAATGTGATGTGTTCTGGGACTATTTGAAAATTTTTTGGTTTTGGGTAAATAGTTTCATGAGGTTTCTGATAGCACAAATCTGTCAACAAAGCGAAAAAATTAAGTAAATAATAATATCTCGAATTTATATGGTGCCAATTCCAAACAAGATCAAAGGCGCAACGCATGTGAAAAGCCATGTTTTCTATTCTGTTAAACCTTTGAGAATGGCCTACTCCATCAGATGGGAGGGGGTTAAGGGGGTTACGACGAACCGCCGAAAAACTAGAAAAGGTCCGCATTTAAAAACCAAAATTGATATTCGTAAAGTCACGCTAACTAGCTACGTTTACAGATATTAACACGGTTGAAGGGTACAGAAAAAAAGAAGACAATTACGTAAATGCCTAGTGCAAGTTCCGAAGACCAAAATTAACAAAATTACAATTAAAGATAGAATTAACACATTTAAAAAGAAACATCATATCATGCATTAAAAACCTACGATTCGGAGGAACAAGAGGACAAGGGTATTTAAAAACTTTCATAAAATGCTAACAAAAATTTGAGTGAATTCTGTCAATGCCAGCTAATTGAGAGGCAGAAGCCTGTCTCTTATGGTATTCGAACTATGAGTTGTGGCCCACAAACAGTTTGGTTTTTATTTGATAGGGTCTTGCATTTTTGCATAATAGTGGAATTAATTTTTATTCGGTGTCGATACAGGCAAATGGGTAATAATAATAGCTAGTATTTTATACTGCATCATATTAAGAATGTGTCTGTGCTCTTCGTGTTATTGCCCAGTCATTCTATTAAATACTGAATGCCTTGGTATTCAAACAATAGTCACAATATAATGACATACTTTGATAAGATATGTTCCTTCTTTGTCTGGTGATACATTGACTGACTTCTTAACCATTTAGGTTTTTTTAATCGAAATATGTAAACTGTTTCCATAAGGAAAATTTTCATGAAAATGGTGGGTTGCCAAGTTAGCTATGCTTAAATAAAAGGTTACCATATCAAAAATTTTAATATTATTATTAGGGATGTGTGTACTGTACTAATATACTTCTACTCATTGAATTCAATTTAGCTGTTTTAGAAATGTTAGAATGAAATAGATTACTAAATGTTTGATATGAACAGTTATCATAAAATGTATGATACATTTATTTATTCGCAGCATGTGCGAGAACTTTCACGACGACAGTACGTTGTACGAGCACTCATGCAAAAGGCACGTGCCAAGGCGGGACTGACGGTACACTGATGTAGATGGTTTAGTGCGATAGTTAATAAATTTACAATGATAATAATTTGATACACACATGCACACACATTACAAATATAAACATATAATAATGATATATAACTGCTTGCATGTGTGTAATAAATTTTGAAAAAAGAGTTGAAGTATGATTGGGTTATAACCTTATTCTGCATTTAGAATTATTTAAATTTGTTGGTAAATATTTTCTTTAAGCCTGGTTTCCTTAAAATGGCTACACTGTCGGTACAGTGTTTTCAGTGCAGTTGATGTAATGCGTAGCTGTCCCTGACACCATCAAAAAGGCTCCCTGATTCGACTGACTAATCAGCATCAACGAAATCTATTGGTGATGACGTGTAGCGATTGTATGGAAACCAAGCTTAACAATAATGATGATGTTATAGACTTGTATTACTATAGCGCCTTCCACAATCAACTTTTCTCAAGTAAAAAAAGTACTTTTAAGAAATTATTTCTGAAAAAAAAGACTAACAAAAAGAAAAAAACAGCAAGATAACCACACACATAGCACCATTTCACCAACCTTCCATATTGCCAACCAGCTAATCATTCCGCTAGTATAATGACATTTAATCAACCAAAAAAAGAAGGAAGAAATTGTAAAAAATGATATGAAAAAATATGAATAATGTATTTATTAAATATGAAATGTATAAAAAGTTTGAAGTATAAATGTGTGGGTAAGTTAGACCATGGAGGAATGAAACATAAAATTCTTCCACAGGTAGAAAGTGGTAGGTTTTCAATAGTTTGAATAGACAAACTGTAACAGACGAGGCTTTGTGAATATTGGTTGGTCGTGAGTACCATAACTGCAATGGAAAAGGCTTTATCATCAAAAGTCTTGAGATACAATATTTTATGGAATAAATTTGTTGGTCGTTGACATTAAAGAGTAAGCTTGAGATCACAAGTTGGAAAATTTATTTTTGAAGTCTTGTATATTTTCTTTTTAATTAAATTCAATTTTTGGTTGAAGAAAATACCAGATACAAGGATTGAAACAAGGGTTCTCATCTATATTATATCAGTAGACAAGTTTGTAGATTGAATCAAGTTTGTCCATTGATCATGCACTCTAGAAGGGGGTGTGGCTACTCTCACATTAAAAAAATGGTAATATAGTGTGAAATGTTGCAATAGCATGCCTAGTGGTTTTTAACTGTTAATTGTTTAGGCTTATAGTAACGGGCCAGATAAGATGCCCTTGCGGACCACAAGGGAACCAATGGAGTGAAACGTTTGCATTACTGTACAGCTAGAAATAGAAAGATTATTAGATTGTTTATTAACTCTAGATTTTAAAATTATTAAAAAAAAAAATTTTATACTACATAAAATTCAGATGCTGGTCCTTTTTGATGTTGAGCACTTCAAGTGCAATTCTGACAGGTAAAGTATGTCCTTTACTTTTAGGTACGAGAGACAAGACAAGTAATATTCATCTTTGTTGGATTGTGAACTAGGAAAACTATAATCAGGTTTGCTATGGGTTGTTTTTTAGGGGGAAGAGATTTTAGTGGTTATTTTGCTTCATATTTTTTGGGTACAAAAGGTGCATCTAGTCTACTTGGTGTTGAGCCTGCTTGAATATTGTTTATTATTTTTTGGATACAAAGCCACTATTACTTTTTGACTATCAGGCTGAAATTCTATTGATGGGTGTGTAGCATAATACGCTGTATCAAGTTGGAACTTAATATTGTTCAAATTTATTTTTTATTGATTAAATGAATGAATGAAGAAAAATCTTGCTTAATATGTTTTTCGGGTTTTGTTTTTCTAAATGTCATTGTGACTGGTTTCAGAAACAAGAACAAGACAGTTTCCAAATGTATATATTTTATTAGATAATCCTTTTGAACATTCATGATTCTGGTTCAACTTAGCATTCATTTATACCATGACATACATAACTATTTTGGTCCTATCAACCATTACACATATGAATTATATCTCTTCATATTTATTGAAAAATATGGTTTGGTGGATTCAAATTATTGAAAATAAATTTAGAAACTAGCATATTTGGTCACACTTCTCTTTTATTTATTTCATTGTCTTCGTTGTTGCCGTTATCACCAACTTAAAGTGGTCTTGGAAGAATTTGTTTTTCTTTATTTAACAATAATCATATGAGAGCATATATACAAGTAAATGAATGCTACACAATGACAACAAACATAATTTTACTGTACATTTATTTTATTAATTCCTTAATTCAACAGTCCAGAATAGAACTTACTTTCTGAACAATCTGATGCCTTTAATGACCTTTCCACTAAGGTCCCACAAAACAACAGTGTAATATACGCAAACACATGTTTGTTAGACACGCCCGTATTTCTAGCCCTGTTGTGATTGGTCAGTTGCTAAATCAGACGCATCGGAAAGGTCCATTGCTATGCTACCAAGCTTTATTATCATGGTATCTTATTCAACAAAAAATCATCGCAGTTAACAGTAATGTAGGCCTAAGGTATTTATCCGAATAAACGTCCCGGGCGTTTATTGTTGAAAAGGGGTTTTCTATTAGAGGGAGCGTTTATTTTTTGGTGTAATATGGATGCGTAATATAGAAATAATACGCCCCTTAATTTCACTGAAAAAGTGGAATTACAACACATAATTACCGTCAAAATGTGATAATAAAGATACTGATCCCAACCAGGTTAGAAAAATGTAATTCTACTGAAATAAAACAATAATAAAATGTGTGGAGAATGATGTTCCATTAGAATTGTTTATAGTCGTTTAGGGGAAGTTTATTCGAGGAAAAATATGAAGGTCTCGGGGAGTTTATTCGAGGGAGGCGTTTATTCCAAATGAGGGTCTAGAGCGGGAGCGTTTATTCAAAACGGGGCGTGTATTCGAATAAATACGGTAACTGTATTGGGGCATTAACGCAATTGTAACACTCATTATAAAAATTAATATATAGATAATACTGTATAGTTATAATTAAAAAACTACCACTACTACAATATATTATCAAAAACATTAAAAGGTATTACTAAAAAATATATTAAAATTGTTACTGTAATATTTTTTAGTATTTACAAATCCTTCACAAATTGAGATTACATTTACACTTTTTATAAAAATGTAAAACATACTGCGTAAATCATTTAAGCTGATGTCAAATTGTCTTGGTTCTAAAAGAGTGCTTTTACATTTAGTTATGATTGCATTAAACATTTTACCTGAAAGTTTACAATGACTCATATCAAGAACTTTCAATTTCGGAGCCATTTTAATTACTTTGCACAAATGTGCTTCACTAATACCTTCAGAGCAAATACAAGTGTATGTATTACACTGTTCAAATGGTATTGCTCCCATTCATCAGAGAAAATTTTGATAGCTTCAGTACTCCATTTTTCAAAACTTTTTAGTAAATATATGTCGTCGTTTCATGTGGACGGCTTAGTGTTTAGTAGTGAAGAGCATAGAACCATCGGCACAATACTATAATTATTATTCAAATGGTGCTCCGATAGTGTAGCGCGAGTGGGTTTCGCCAAACAATCTTTGGGAAGAAAACACAATTCGTCGGAGAAAAAAAAATTGGATGTATTTTTAACAAAATTCTAAAACCAATTAAATAAGCCTTTGAAAACCCTAACAATTTTTACAGTACTGTTTACCGGGGTTCGGCCCGGCCCAGGACTACTTCAGAATGATTTGGAGCGACGGCCAACTATCTGTACATCCACTTTAGCAAATCCTGGCACCGCTTTATTTATTAGTCGCCCTGCTTACTCCTGTAGTTGTTATTGTATAAATGGCTTCACAGCGGTCCTGGATATGTCTTATAACAGAACTTTCAAATTACACACACACACACACACACACAAATTAAAACGGAACAGTAGAGAAAATCCGATCAGAATGACAAAATAAACTAAGCATCCACTGGAAGGAATCCCAATATCTGCAGACGGATCCGTTTCGGCCTTCCAGGCCTCATCCGTGCAGCTAGGGTATAGACCCAAACGAAACGTTCGACCAGCTTAGGTTGGGCAAGGTAATTCAACAAAAGGACGCACATCTCGGGACATCAAAGGTTATAACTCTGGCATCGACACTCTAGGCGCACAAAACCATAGCAACCAGACCATAAACCGTCAGCGTACGTGACGATTTACCCACGCGCGTGTTAGTTGCCATGTTAGTCGCGCGTCGTGCGGTGATTACAAAGGCCTAATGATATTTTGCACTAACATTAGCCTGAAAATGTTCTTCATTTCAACATTAATTTTACCAAAATTGTGGTGAATTGTCGTTCATGAGACTCACTTCGCAGAAAAAATTAATAAATGTTCCGTATATACTCAAATGTTCGTCCTCGGCACCTTATGCCAACATTGTCAAAATGAACATGAAATTTTATAAAATTCGTAAATTTTGAATTGCTATAACTTTTCATTTTCTTGGTCAATTTTCACAAATCAAATTGCAGTTTATAGAAGCATTTAACAAGCTCGCGGTAAAAAAAAAATCAATGTAACAGACATTGCGAAGTACCCAAAATTAATAAAATAAAAACTAACACCATAAAACGAATGGCACGCATAGACTAATAATTGACGGCTGTACTCGCAACTAGTATCGGATTGTCGATGCCACAGTAAAGATCAAAGGACTGTACGCACGCGCTATGTTCGAGAGCGGAGATGTGCGTCCTTTTGTTGAATTACCTTGGGTTGGGCCCAAACTAGTCCCACGACCACTAATGATTATAGAGCCAAACCAAGGCAATATATATACACAGCCCAGGTGTTGTCTCTTATACACATCTAGATGTGTATAAGAGACAGAATTAAAACGGAACAGTAGAGAAAATCCGATCAGAATGACAAAATAAACTAAG